AAAAGGCCATGTAGCAAGCTATTCAGGAGTCAGCGTTTTGGTTCAATAACTAAGAGATCTTATAAAAGTAAAAATGCAGGGCTAGGGATGTAGCTCAGTTGGCAGAGTGCCTGCCTAGCGTGCACAAAGCCCTGGGTTCATCCTCAGCACTGCATAAAACAGATACACTTCACATCTGTAATCCTAGCACTTGGGAGGTTCATAGTGAGTTGGAGGCCAGCCTAGGATTCATGTGACTGTAAATAAATATCTTGCAGGAAAACACTGAGACAATCTGAATTAGAATGTGAGATTCATTATCTCCTGTCACAGAAACATTTCATCTTTCTGAGGCTAATCTCTTCTTGTGGTTTAGATGTGAAACGTCGCCTACGGGCCCTGTGTTTGAACTAATCCTCAGCTGGTGACAGTGGTTTAGTATGCTGTAGAACCTTTAGGAGGTGGGGGGCCATGCTGGAGGAAGTGGGTCACTTGGGGCAGAGTGTGGAGTATTATAGCTGCCCCCACTTCCTGTCTGCTCCTTCCTGACTGAGATCTTGATGTGACCATCCACCTTAGGCTACTGCAACCATGCTCTACCTGCCATAATGTATCCAGGATATAAGTGAAAACAAATCTTTGCTCTCTTAATTTGCTTCCTGTCAGGTACATGGTCACATCAACAAGGGAAATTCCTAACATTCCTACTGTTGTACCCAAAGTCCCCCAAAGACCACCAAGAGACCAAATTTGATGCAAAAGCAAAGAGTCTTTTCACTATTATTAGTTAACTTGGGACTCTCTGTCTGATGCAGCAGCCGAGCAGGAGAGACCCTGAGTAGCAATGGGGCAGGATTTTTAAAGCAAAGGTGCTTGGGGTCTACAGACTACACAGGAACAGACTCAGGATTGGTTTATTTGAGTGGCAATCATGTTAGTAACTTTTAATTGGCTAGGATTAGTTGGGGATTACAGTTACCATTTTTAGGCAGGCCTGGACAAGTCCCAGGCTCTGTCCTTGAGCTGCCATGGAGGCTGGCTGGCCTAGCAGGTACTGACTGTGGGGGCTGGCTCAGTGGCCCAGGCTGTGTCCTTGACTCATGCACGTAGCTCTAAGTTGGTAAGGGGTCCCAGACAGCAAAAAATTGGCTGAACCTTGAGCAGTCAGAATACGTGCAGAAAAGGAGCTATTGCAAGAACTATGTCTTTTGTTTATGGCCCTTCCAGAAACTGCTTGCTCAAGTCTCAGGAAACTGAAATTGAGACCTGATCTCTGAGAGAAGACTGAGCAGCCTGTTATGGCGTCTGCTTGGTCCTTTTACCTGCCTGAATAACTCTGATACTGTGAGCTTTCCCTGCTGCTTATGTCCTCCTCTTCTACCACAGCTCTTGAATCTACTCGACAGCTTCCCCTCCAATGTATAATCGAGTCTCTCCAATTCATTTTACTACGGAAAGCCTAACTACTGTCCTCATGCACTCTTCCTTCACTGCCAAAGTCCATAAGAAATAATCACATCTGGTGCCTGTGCTTTCTCATTTCTACTTAATTAGCTGGCCCGGTTCTTTATTGTACTTTTGCTCTTAGAAAGCTGGCCAAAAAGCCAACACGTGATCTTATTTGTCTCTTGTCTCTACCGGTGCATAAAAACTATGCTTTTAATGCTTCCCAGAACCAGGATGTCCAAACTGATTTTTCCCATTCCTCCTAAAATTTTTTTGTCATTTCTTATTTCTGTTGAGATACTCAGGTTGTACTGAATGTATCATTATAACCCAATCATTCCCCATAATAAAAAAACATACTTCTTGGGACTGTCTTCCCTATTACATTTTTAGTCTCAAAAACAAGTATAAAGTAATTTAAATTCTTGCAACTCTAGCTTATCATAATACCTGGCAGAGAGATAGCTGTAATCTATTGATTGCAGGTAGCCCCAGGCTAGCCCCCAAACCACTGTGAAGCAGAGAATGATCTGAATTCCTCCTGCCCTCACCTCCCAAATGCTGGAATTACAGGTGTGTACCAACATGCCCAGTTTATAGAAATACTTTACATTCTTATTGGTCAGTGTATTCATCCATTTTTTATCGATAACAAAATATCTGAAGTTGAGTAGTTTATAAAGAAAAGATGTTTATTTATTTTACAGTTCCGGTGCCTGAAAACCCCAAATCAGGAAACCTAGGTCTGGTCTCCAGTGGGAGCTTTCTCGTGTTGCAACATGGCAGAGCAAGAGCAAGACAAACAGCCGCATATAGGAGGGAGCACATGTGACGGCAGCCTCAATCCCTAATTACCTTCTCTCTCGGGATCTACTCAGGGACCTGGAAGAACTACATTATTTCCTTCTGCGGACAGCGCTCCTTACCTCGTCACCTTCTAATGGGCCCTACCCCTTCAAAGTACCTCTCAACATTGCTACACTGGCTTCTAAGGTCCAGATAGGAACTCTGGGAAGACACACTCAAATTGTAAGATGGCAATCATTGAAAAGCTAGAGATATGGCCTTGTCATCAACGGCCTTGTGTAGGCTAGTAGGAAGGGTCCTTCCACAGGCTCCCTACATCATTGGCACACTCGACTTGGCTTTTCATCAGGTCAAACAGCTACACCTCAAGAGCACAATGTTCCAAAGCTAGAGTACTAGAGACAGGCCCAAGAAAATAGCTATAATATCTTCTTTGCACCTGTCTTTAGAAACTGGTAATTTAGGTTTCTGTTAATAAGTACTGCTGCTTGGGAAAGCTGTTCACTTATTTCTTCACCGTTTTGTAAATTGCTTTGTAGAAAAGGAGGATGTTTATTCAGTAACATGGGTGGAACTGTAACAGAACCAAGGCTTGAAAGGAGTCTGTACGACTCTTAAGCACAAGCTCTTTCTGCTTCATCTTTAACACGCTCATGTTTCTGCAGAAACAGCCGAGAACATCTTGAGCCTTGTGGAGAGCATAACCCTCCAGGACCAAACATCAAATTTACATAGAATGTCTTTGAGGAAATCCTTGGGAAACTTCTAGAAACAAAGATCCTCGATTTATAATAAGAGCAGTGAAAATGAGGCAGATTATTTTGCCACCTTGCAAAGCTAGGCATCAGCCTCGAATGGTAGACATACTGATGTAGCTAGCCACCATGCCCGGCTTCAAGGGGACAGTTTTTAAACCCTAAAGCAAGTCCCTTCCTCCTTTTCCCCACTTGCTGAGTAATCAGAAGGGAATGATCTTACATGTTATCTCGGTCTTACTGTTGTTTCCTTTATTGTAATACTTGTCTTTTTCTCACTGAAAACTGGGAGTCATTTCTGCATTTTATATCCTGTTTATTTTCAAGCTTACCGTGTACACGATCTTGTCACCATTCTGGTGGAAGGTTTTGCCCCGTTTTAGTTAGGGTTCTAGCGATGTGCTGGAACACGATGACCAAAAGCAAGTTGGAAAGGAAAGTATTTATTTTACTCAGGCTTCAGTAAAATAGCTCCTCATTGAAAGCAGTCATGGCAGGAACTCCAGGAACCAAGAAAGCAGTCAGGCCTGGCATCTGGAAGCAACAGCTGATGCAAAGGCCATGGGGGAGTGCTGCTTATTTTCTCTCCATGTCTTAATCTATCAACTTTCTTATAGCACCTGAGACTGCCAGCCAGGGGCAGCACTACCCACAGTGGGCTGGACCTCTTCCCATCAATCATGAATCAATCATGAATTAAGAAAATGACCTACAGGCTTGCCTACAGCTGGATTTTATGGAGGTATTTTCTCAGTTGATGTTCCCTTCTCTCAGGTGATTCTGGCTTGTGTCAAGTAGACATAAAATTAGCCAGCACCCCCACCCCCACCCCCAGTTAATCTTTCCAGGAAATACCCTTATAGACTTACTCAAGCCTGTCTCTTAGTTGATTCCAATGCCAATGCAGCTGATTCGGAAGATTAACCATCACAGTGACTTCATGATTCAATCAGTGCTTACTATTTTGAAAATCCTAGGTATGATGGTTTGAATGAAAATGTTCTCCATGGGCTCAGATAGTTGAATACTTAGTCCCCAGTTGGTGGCACTGTTTGGGTAGGTTTAAGAGGTGTGGTCTTGCTGGAGGAGGTGTCTCACTGGGGTTGTTTTGACATTTGAAGATTTGCTGCTCCAGTCACTGAGCCCGCCTGTTGCTATGCTCCCCCACAATGATGGTCATGGACCATTATCCCATTGTCCACAGTGATGGTCATGGACCATTATCCCATTGTCCACAGTGATGGTCATGGACCATTATCCCATTGTCCACAGTGATGGTCATGGACCATTATCCCATTGTCCACAGTGATGGTCATGGACCATTATCCCATTGTCCACAGTGATGGTCATGGACCATTATCCCATTGTCCACAGTGATGGTCATGGACCATTATCCCATTGTCCACAGTGATGGTCATGGACCATTATCCCTCTGGAACCTAAGCCTAAATAAACCCTTATTTCTAGAAGTTGCCTTCGTCATGGTGGGTTTTTTTTTTTTTTTTTTTTTTTTTTTGGTTTTTTGAGACAGGGTTTCTCTGTGTAGCTTTGTGCCTTTCCTGGAACTCACTTTGTAGACCAGGCTGGCCTCGAACTCACGGAGATCCACCTGGCTCTGCCTCCCGAGTGCTGGGATTAAAGGCGTGCGCCACCACCGCCCGGCTCGTCATGGTGTTTTATTACAATAAGAAAGCAACCAATGTAGTGAGCCTTGGAGAAATTTACTTGCTCCATGTTTTAAAAATGAAACAATGAAGTGTAAATAATAGCACATTTGTTTATAACATAGTTTACTAAAAAGTTTAAGCTGATTGTTGGGACCACTCAAAACAAGAAGATCCATTTCAAAATAAAATATCAGTGCTGAGAACATGGCTGGGGTACTGCCAACCCCCCCGCCAGCAAAAAGCAAAAACCAAACACCTCTCCCAGAAAACAAAGCAAACACAGATCTTGCCTCAAATAAACAGTTTATTCTGGAACCACATAGGTGTGATCATGCCTGGGAACACTGACTCAAATTACCCAAGATTCCATATTTCAACATGGTATCAGTTTCATAAAGTTTTTATAGTAATAGAACAAAGACAGTCATAAATCCAAGTCCCCACCCCCCCCCCTTTTTTTTCTAGACAAGGTCTCATGGTGTGGTTCTGGCTGGCTTGTAACTCATAGAGATCCACCTGCTTCTGCCTCTTGAATGCTGGAATTAAAGGCTTGAGCCAGCATTCATTTTTTCCCCCACAGCAATCTTAAGCTCCATAAAATCCAGCTGTAGTCTTAAGCTGGGGGTGGTGGCAAATGTCTTTAAGCCCAGCACATAGGAGGCAGAGGCAGCAAGACCTTTGTGAGGTCAGTTTGAGGTCAGCCAGGGCCACATTAGTGAGTTTTTCGAGACAGGGTTTTTCTGTGTTGCCCTGGCTGTCCGGGACCCAGGCTGGGATCTGCCTCCTATGTACTGTGATCACACCATGTGCATACACCACCAAGCATGGCTTACACACAGTAGTCCTTAATTTTATTTTATGTATGTTTTCCTAAGTGCATGTATGTGTATTACACGTGCACAGGTAGGCACAGAAGCCAAATCTCCATGGAAATGGATTTACAGATGGTTGTGACGTATCCAATATGGATTGTGAGAACCAAACACAGGTCTTCTACAAGAGGAGAAAGTGGTCATAACTGCTGAACCACCTCTCCAGTCACTCAAGGCATTTTAAAAATACACTGGGAGAAACGTTTGCTTGCTGGATGGTGTTAATGAAGATCTTTAATCTCGGCGCTTGGGAGGCAGAGGCTGGAGGATCTCTGTGAGTTTGAGGCTAGCCTGGTCTATAGAGCAAGTTCCAGACAGCCAGGACTACACAGAGAAACCCTGTCTCAAAAAACCAACCCAGGGGTTGGGGATTTAGCTCAGTGGTAGAGTGCTTGCCTAGCAAGTGCAAGGCCCTGGGTTCGGTCCTCAGCTCCGGGGGAAAGGGGGGAAGGGGGAACAACCCAACCCAACCCAACTGAACCATCTGCTTCACAGCTTAAAGGAGAGCAGTAAAGTCTGCTACAGGTCTCAGGGGTTACCTGCGCAGTCCCAGCTTCTGGGTCAGTAGAAGCTAAGGATCTGTTTGTACAGCTCAAAAGGATTTACATTAGGTTACACACAGAGATAGGCAATAAATTGTTGTTCAGGGGCTAAGACAGCAAGGAAATTTGGCTCAGGGCCTGTTTATTTCTACTTTCCACAGTTGAAATTCTGGTCAGTCAATCCATCTTATAGAATGTTTAATGCAGGTGTGGCTCCTTTTTTCTTCTTCTGGGGACTTTAGTTAACATTGTACAAGATCTTCAATGGAGATGGGTGATCAGATATTGCTTTTGCTGACCCAGTATTCATTCTGCAGTCCCCAGATCAAGGAGTAATTTCCACTTGTGTTAGTTAATATTTTATTTATTATGTAATATTGTGGTGCACACCTTTAATCCCAGCACTTAGGAGGCAGAGGCAGGCAGATCTCTGCATGAGGCCAGCTTCTGTGAGTTCAAGAAAACCCTGTCTTGAAGCTCACTAAACCCCACCCCAATTTTTTTTTTTACTATTATTTTTATATGACTTAAGCTAATGTGGTGAGTCCTTTGATTGGTGTAGACAAAGTAACTGAAAATCTTCTGGAAGCAGTGCACCACTTTGTTGTGGAGTATTACTTTAACAACATAAAGGAGTTATGTTTGCTTATGCTGCATTTAATTATGTAAAGATGTGTTGCTGTTTCACTTGCTTGCCTAAGGTACCTGATTGGTCTAATAAAAACCTGAACGGCCAATAGCTAGGAAGGAGAGGGATAGTCAGGGCTAGCAGGCAGAGAGAATACATAGGAGGGAAATCGAGGCTCCAGAGAGAAGAGGACGAGGGAGAAAGAGAGGGAGACATTTGGGGCCAGAAGCCAGGCAGCTGCCAGCCAGCCAGCCATGGAATAGAACACACAGAAAGAAAAGTAAAAAGGCCCCAAGACAAAATATAGATGAAAAGAAACAGGACAGCTTAAGTTAAAAGCGCTAGTGAGACAAGCATAAGATAAGACCATACATTCATAACTAATATTAAGTCTCCATGTCATGATTTGGGAGCTAGTTGGTGGACCAAAAGAAAGCCTGCTACACCACTCTAGATGCCATTAAGAAATTGTGGGATTCTTGGGAGGAGCTAAAACTATTATTATGAGAATTTGGAAGATGTTAATTCTAGTCTTCATGTGTCAGTTTGAGGTTTCAAAACTTCAATGTAGTCAGTAAACGCTGATGTGGTCAAGTAGCAGGGGAGCTAGCAGTGGAGTCTAGGATTGGACAGAATTTCTACTAATAGATTAGCAAAGAAAGGGGTTTCTTTCTTTAAAATTAATTTATACTTTTTGCCTCCCATAAGCACATAGGGAGTGGCACTATTAGTAGATGTGACCTTGTTGGAGGAAGTGTGCCACTGTGGGGGTGGGCTTTGAGGTCTCATATATGTTCAAGATATGCCCAGTGTCTCAGACCACTTCCTGCTGCTTGTGGGACAAGATGTAGGAGACTCAGCTCCTTCTCCAGCACCATCTCTGCCTGCTCGTCACCATGTTGCACCATGATAATGGACTAAACTTGAGAACGTAAGACACCCCAATCGAATGTTTTTCCTTTGTAAGAGTTGTCATGGTGTCTCTTTACAACAATAGAAACCCTAACCAAGACATCACTATCATAAAGGTGGGTTTCTCAGGGCAAGTTTCATTCATTGTAGTCTGGATGTGCTGAACCCTACGATTTCTCCCAATGTAGAAAATTTGACTATATAAGTTGTGGCAGTGGGGACTGCATTTGTACTGTCCCTTACAAAAAATAAAATACTTTTAAAATTACATTTAAGTATTATTTTTTGGGGGTGGGGTGGGGGAAACGGGCACATCCACATGCCATGGTACACATGTGGCAGTCGGAGGACAACTCACAGGCATCAGTTCTCCTCTTCTACCATGTGGGACATGGGGATCAAACTCAGGCCATCAGGCTTGGTGGCATGAACCTTTACCTGCTGAACCACCTCACTATCTGTTGTTTAGCAGTTTCTTCCGTGATTTGATTTCAAATGGGGCAGTTCATTCAGACACAGGATGTTTACAGGGAGCTGAAACAATAAGATGGAGGTGAAACTCCATCCTGCAGGGAAGTTTATTAATCTCAGGAAGGAAACAACTCAAATAGCCTCAGGAAGTCCCTTAAACCAGTAAGATTCACTAGGCTCCTCCCTCCCCAAATGTGTAGATAAGCAGCAGAGACTACTGAGAGACATTCTTAGACAAGACAAGCTGCCTAGAACAGAGGTTCTCAGCTTGTGGGTTGAGACCATCTGAGACACCTCTCAGTAGCAAAATTACAGTTATGAAGTAGCAACAAAAATTAATGTTTGGTTGGGGATTCCTTCTTCCTTTTATTTTTTATTTTTAGCCTGGTGTGATCGGACACGGGACGGTCTGGGAATTGAATCCAGGTCCTCTGGAACATCAGTCAGTGCTCTTAACCGCTGAGCCATTTCTCTCCTCTCATGGTTGGGGATTCCTAAGACCACTGGAAATATGTATTTTCTGAGGGTCACAACCCACAGGTTGAGAAATGCTGGCCTAGGAGAATCCCAGACAAGGAACATTGCTTAGAAGAAGCAGAGACCGGCCAAGCTGCCTGGAAGACATTTAGAACAACTGAACTACCTGGAAAGGACATTCTCCAAGCTGTTGAGTGGCCTACAGTCTCTGCAGTGTGCCCCAGGCTTCCAGCTTTTGTGAACTGTCTCCCATGGTGGGGTGGGATTTTGGTAATATAGCTCTCTTTGAGTTATTTCTGGTCCTGTAAATAACTCTAATTAAATTCTGATGTTCATCAACTTGGACTTTGGTGGTATCCTTATTTTGTTCTGCCATTGTTCCTCATCTGGTGAGTAGACATTTGTTCATGTCTGTCCCCAGGAATAGTCACACAACATCATCCCAGAAAGCAGTTTCTTAAAATGGATTCTGTTTCTGGTGAAGATGCTAAAAACACTACCAAAATGACAACTAAGGATTCAGAATATTAGATAATCTGTTGTCAGTGCTTTCCTTGGTCATTGTGATCAAATACAGGACAAGAGGCAAATTAACGGAGGTAAGGTTTATTTGGGGCACATCTTGGCACGCAAGGCATGGTAGTGGGAGTCACTCTTGGCTGCAGCAGAAGTATGAGGCTACTGGCTCAGGTCTAAGCAGATCAGGAAGCAGACACGACAGGAAGCAGGGCTGGGCTATAAATATGAAGGCTTGCTCCACCCCCTCAACCAGCACTTCCTCTAGCTAAGCCCTGCCTTCTAAATGTTCTGTAACATCTCAAAACAGCATACTAGCTGGGGACCGAGTGCTCAAACATCTGAACTTGTGGGGAGCATTTTACACCCAAAACTCAGTACTTGCTAAAGCAGCAGCAAGGTTCTACTGTGAGCAAAATGCTATCAGAGAGTATCGCATGTTACAGGATGGGGAGGTGGCTCTGTGGGTAAAGTGCTTGCTGTGAAAACACGAGGACCTGGGTTTGGATACCCGCATATAACACTGAGTCCAACCCAGAATTCCAGGTAAGGACTTCCAGACCCATTCTGCCTACTCACCTGCCTAACAGCCACACGAAGCGCACTGTGCTGCCCAGTGTGCATAGAGTTTAACACAGATCTCCATTCCACCCATCTGCCTACTAACCATGATGCTCCATTACTGTATGAAAGATGACCTGGTACTCCAGGTGTAGATCCCCAGAGCCGGTTTGCTACCATACCTACATCAAGATACCTCGGGACCATGTGACATGTTGTGTGTCTGACCCAAGATAAAGACTCCAGTGTGGTCTCTACTCAACCCACCCCCCGTTGGAGGAAGTTGTGGCATCTTGTGCCCCACAACCAAAGAGCACTGCCCACTTCAAATGTGACCCCACCCCCTGCCACCCAAAGACCACCTGCAGAAGCCAGCAAGCCCTCTACAGACTTGATGATCAGCAGTACGAACCTTATAAGCCTACAGAAGGGGGCTGGAGAGATGGCTCAGCAGTTAAGAGCACTGGCTGTTCTTCCAGAGGACCAAGGTTCAAGTTCCAGCACCCACGTAGTGGCTCACAACCATCTATAACTCCAGTTCCAAGGGATCTGACACCCTCTTCTGGCCTCCTCTGGTCTTTCCAGGCACTAGGCATGCACAGAGACTTACATGCATGCAAAACACCCATATATATGGAAGAACATGAGATATTCTTTTACTAATAACAGTTCTCACTATAAAGCACACACAAAAAAATTAGATTTGGCATCTTCTGAAAACTTGATCCTTCTGACTCTCTTCATGCCTCTAGAGCAGCATTACAAAAATGATCTGAAAGGTTGGGATGTAGCTTGGTTAACAGAGACCCAGTCCTGGATGTGAGCCACAGCACCACCACATGTAGTGGTGTACACCTGTTATCTGCCTGGGAGGTGGGGACTAGAAGACCAGGAATTGAAGGCCATTCTTAGTTACATAGAGGCCAGTCTTAGCTACACAATACCCTTCCTTAAAAAAACAAACAAACAAATGCAGGGCAGTGGAGGCACACGCCTTTAATCTCATCACTCAGGAGGCAGAGGCAGGAGGATCTCTGTGAGTTTGAGGCCAGCCAGGTCTACAAAGTGAATTCCAGGAAAGCCAAGGTTGTTACTAGAGAAACCCTATCTCAAAACAAAACAAAAAACCCAAAACCAAACCAAAACAAATAACCAAACAAATAAAAAGAGATACATTTATAAAACAAAAATTACTGGAAAAGGGGAATTAAAAAAACAGCCAAGAGCCAGGCATGGTTGTGCACTCCTTTAATCCCAGCACTGGGGAGGCAGAGGCAGGTGGATCTCTGTTTGAGGCCAGCTTAGTCTACAGAGTTCCAGGACAGCCAAAGAAACTGTCTAGAAAAACCAAAAAGCCATGCAACAATACAGCTCTGGATGGTACATTTACAGATATTAATCTGCGTTCCATGCTTGTAAATGCTTACTCTTTTTTAAATGTCTTGGCTCGTAACCAAGCGAAGGGTCTGCAGACTGACACTAACTAATGAATTAGACTTTTGGTGGCATTGTTCTAGAATAATCAAAGCTAAACTGAACCTCATAAAGTCAAAACAATGGTAGGAAGCATTGGTCTTAGTCAGGAGTCACCGGATGGCCACCTAGTGGCCTCTTTCTAGCCTTAAACATAATGCTGGCCCCCAAACCACTCATGGGTCAGTGTTTCTAGGGTCAAATTCACAATCCTTTAGCTTAGCATTCAAGGCTTTCTGGCCTAGTCTCAAACTTTTTTTGGTAGTGCTATGGATACTCAGGGCTTTGCTAACAGCAGGCAGGCACTCTATTGCTCAGCTATATTCTCAGCCTTCAGAACAACTTTTCTTCCTTCTTTTTTTTTTTTTTTTTGAGATAGGGCCTATCTACATAGTCCTGGCTGTCCTGGAATTCACAATGTAGACTAGGCTGTCCTGAAACTTGAAGAGATCCGACTGCCTCTGCCTCTCAAGTGTTACGATTATCCAACTGAAATCTGCTTAACGGAGAAATTTATTTTTAAGACTTTAACTTCAGCGAACAGTTAAAAGAAGCATGGCTTAATGTCTTAGACCAAGTGGACAGGTAAATCAACTTTTTAACAGTACATCTGATGAAATCAGGTATTGAGACATGCTTTAAATATAACTCACACACTAGATTTCAAATAGTGAGAAAATGAATGTAAAACACTAAATTAGCTGGGTGTTGGTGGCCCACGCCTTTAATCCTAACGCTCGGGAGGCAGAGCCAGATAGACCTCTGTGAGTTCGAGGCCAGCCTGGCCTACATATCGAGATCCAGGACAGGCACCAAAACTACAGAGAAACTGTCTCGAAAAACAAACAAACAAAATTAAACTCTATTTTATATCACATATAATACTGGCATTATCTTTAAATAAGACATTAATTTCACATTTTTAATGCAACTACTACAAAATTATACGTAGCTTATCTTTCTACCTGATGTTGGTAGCTTAGGCAACCATACTCAAAGCTTAGATACCGCTATTGATTCTTCTTTCCCTCACTCCACACTTAATGACTTAATGTCTCTTAGCAGGATCCATCTGCTTTCTCCATCTCTACCGCCATGGCCACGCCACTCCATTCCCTTCGGCTATCAATGACCTCATCTTCCCAAAGTGGCAGTTATTTCCCACCATCCCTCCTTTCTGACCTCCCATCCCACCAATTTCACAAACTGCCCTAACTTCTTCGCAGTCAGGGCCTAGCTCAGATCAAACCGCAGGTGAGCCCACCTCTGACCCAGTGCCAGTACTTAGTCCGCTTTCTCACTTGGAGAACTACTTTATCCAGTTACAAGTCGCCTGCTCCCCCTCCCCGCCCCTTTTCCATTGTGAAACTATTATGGGACATTATCTCTCTTTGTTTTAAATCTTTAGTCTTCCCTTCATGCTCTTTGTTGCTACTTTTATCTTTTCTAGCACACAGAACAGTGTCAGGCAGAGTGGGCGCTCCAACAAAGTGCTGAATGAATACAGCTCACTGTTGATTAGACAGGCTCAGCTTTACGTGGTCAAAGAGGCGTCGCCTTTCCCAGCACACACTCCTCTCTGCTTCTACTCCCAGTGAACACATTACCATCCTTCAGGCACTCCTCTGACACACTTGACAGTCACCTTTGACATCTCTTTCAGACAGTCTCTCATCCAGTCAAGCAAATTCTCCAAATTCTCAACAAGCAGTTGTGATTTTTCTTCATTTCTACTTGTGACTACCTCAACCCAAGGCATTATGGCCTTCCAAATTACTATTTCTCATGCCTTGGACATTTTTTGCTGAATAGTTACATGACCAGTCAAAAACATCAATTCATTCATTCATTCATTCATTCACAGGACACTTGAGGCTGTCACTAACCCTCTACAGGTACATCTCTGGGAATGCTTAGAATGATGTCTTTTTTACTTTGCTTGTCTCTTAAACCTTTGCATTATTGTTCCTTTGGCTGGAGGGCCTTCACCAATTCCCTTACTAACGTGAATTTGATTCTTCCTTCCCACGTTAGTGTGTGTGTGAGATCTCCCTCCAAAATCACCCCAAATCCGGCAGCTTTTCTGCCATTGCAATCACTGATGATGGATACTCGTTTATAACCTATAGCACAATGAAGGCAAGACTTCTGCGGCAATCATTAACTAAATATTTACTCCAAATGTTATGGGAAGGTGTGACTATTTAAAAAAAAACATAACAGCTGGAGATATTGGCCAAACCTTTAATCCCTCCAACTGGGAGGCAGAGGCAGGTGGATCTTTGTTGAGTTTGAGCTCAGCCAGGTCAACATTTTGAGTTCTAGGACAGCCAGAGCTTTTACACAGTGAGGCTTTGTCTCAAAAGAAAAACAAAACAAAAACTACAAAAAACCCAAAACAATAAAGTATTAAATCAAAAGAAAAAAAAAACTATTGCCCCCCACATAGTGCTTGCTATGCTTTATTAGTTAAGTCACACTGACTACAAACTTTCACCATGTTAGTAAAAAGGGCAAGTGGAGACACAATGATTACGTATTTGAGGGCACGGACGGACGGACGGACACACACACAGAACAATTTGGATCTCATTTAAGCCTTTTTGCTCTTAGGATAAATTGCCGGAGGTGTTTCAGATATTCCCATTCCTAGATGCCGGATGCCTAAAGTTCCACGGGTAGCGAACTTCCCTGGTGAACATACCAAAGCGTAACTTTGGAAATCTCGTGTAAGTTAAAATTTATGAGGCTTTTTCTTCACAAAATCACCATCTCCCAATAAATTTTTGGTACATTCAAAATGAAACTCAACGCCGGGCGAAGTAGCGCACGACTTTAATGTCAGCAATCCGGAGGCAGAGGCAGGGGGATCTCTGTTGAGTTCGAGGCCACCCTGGTATACAAATTGAGTTCTAGGACAGCCAAGGCTGTTACAGAGAAACTCTGTCTCGAGGAAAAAAAAAAAAATCTTGATATTGCAGGCACGGAGAAAAGACAAACAAACAAACAGCCGGGCGGTGGTGGCGCACGCCTTTAATCCCAGCACTCGGGAGGCAGAGCCAGGTGGATCTCTGTGAGTTCGAGGCCAGCCTGGTCTACAGATCGAGATCCATGACAGGCACTTAAAACAACACAGAGAAACCCTGTCTCGAAAAGCCAAAACAAAAAAACCACCCAACAAAAACCGCAGAATCATCCTCATCACACACGACCAGTTTACGCCAGGTGAAGAGGACACATCTTTTGTTCCTGCACTGACACCTCACACAGCGACTCCGGGTCTACCTTCCACTTAAAGGTAAATCCTAGGTTCCTAGTGGCCCTTCCGCCTGCCGGGAACCTGCTACGATACCCCACGGGCAAGTTTAACCTCCAAACGTCCCGCAGTCCCCGCGTTTCACGTGCCACGCCGGGGAGAAAGGACGCTTAGCACACGCACCCCAGTTCCCACACATGCCGCCCCACGGCTCGGCGCGAACACCCGGCCGCGCACATGGCCACCGCAGCGCTCACCCCCGCTGCCGCGCAGGCGCCGGGCGAGCCGGGACTTGCGGTCGCCCAGTGGATCATTCCGCCGCAGCCTTTGTGTGGCCGAAGGCTAGAAATGGCTTATTTCCTTTCTCCCTGTTTAAAGTCAAAACCAGACCCCTTCGTCCCTTTCTCCCGCCGGGACGGGGCCGGGGGAGGGTAGCGGCAGGCCTGCTCCCGGGGGCAGTGGGGCGGAAACCGGCGCGGGCTGGCGAGGCCGCCGCAGGCATGCTGGGAGCTCGCCCGCCGTGTCCCTCCGCGCCGACGGGGACTTTTCGGTGGGGATTTTGGGCGCCGACCAGACGCGGCATTTTCGGAAAATAGCGCCCTGTGCAGCGAAGCGCTCTGTGTGTGGCGGGGCCGCGTCAGCCCTGCCGGCTCTGAGGCGCCGCGGTCCCCGCACCTCCTCCCGCTGCTCCCCCGCCGCCGCTCCCGAAGCTTTTCCAGGTCAGTGCGGGTCTGTGTAGGGCCCTGTTACCACCGGATGTGGAAGTTGATCTCTTCGCTGGTAAAAAATAATTCCACTTCCCCCGGAACCCAGATCATCCCCGCGATTTCCTGTTTATTGCATTAAGGCGCCGGGTTTCCGGGGCTCCCGGCCCCGCTCGTTTGGCGGGGGTCGGCGGGGTCGGCCTGGGTGTCCGCGCCGCCGCCGCCGCGCTTTGTCCGCCCGGCGCTTGGCTTCTGGGAGGGGCGGCAGACATGGTGGCGGCCGCCGCCCCCTCCTCGGTCGGGCGCCGCGGCCTCCTGCGGTCCCCACGGGCCGGGGCTGCGGTGGGGTGGCAATGGCCGTGGGGGTCCGGGCCCGTGGGGCGGGCGGCTGGAGAGGCGGCGCGGCCCCCGCCCGCTCCTTTGTCTCGGCGGCCTGAACGCCGGGTCGGGCCGGGCCGGGCCGACGACAAGCGGGAAGGCCGGGCCGGGCCGCGCCGCCGCGCCGGGGCCCACGGGGCCGGGAGCGCTCGGGTTCTCGGCGGGAGCAGCCGGCCCGGGGCAGGGTAGACGGGAGAGCCCTGAAGGGACGGAGCCTGCCAGTCTCCGTGGTGGAGACTTTTGCCCCGGAGACTTGGCCTGCGGCGGAACCCACGCGAGCGCGGGTGCGGGAAAAGAAGCCGCGAGTTTCGTCGGGTCATCTCGTGTCTAGGCGCAGATCGGTGTTGAGGGTGCTCTTGGGAACCTCTCTCCCGCTGGGTTGAAGCCGCGTGCCTCGCTTCAAGTGTGCATCTCCAAAATGAAAGCTAAGGGAAGGAATGGCACGGGCCTAATTGCGGTGTCTTCCCTTGAAGCTTTTGCTTTCAAGCCCGCTTGGACTGTGTCTGAGCAGACACATCTGTTTAAAGCAGGGGCGAGACCACAGAACTTCCGAAAGGGAGCTTCATAACGTGGAAATAATTTTAAGTTCTTTCTCCAGACACTGGTTTGCTGTCCATTCAGGCAAGTTACTTTCTGAAGTGTTAAAACGTTGGGGTACTTGTCCTTGTGAAATAGTTGCCATTCCAGAATTTAAAACGCACCGAATTTATTATTATGCGGAAGATAGCTTTATCGCACAGAGATTCGTCCAGGTTAGTTTAATTTAACTGATAGATTTTTGACTTAGGCCTTCAGACTCTGACTTTGAATTTTAAGGAACCCGATAACTATTATCCCTTTATTTTTCTTATTTTGTGAAAAGTCGAATTCATATGTAACTCATGATTTAGGCAAGAGTCAACGTTCTTTTGCATTTTTGCAAATCGTTCTAGAGCCTAAACAGAAAACAGATTCTTGTATCTATTTTTTGCATGCAGTCTTGTGATATCACACCACATAACCACTGGAAAGCACTGTACACATTGTGCTTTTATTCTTTTTCCAAAATATGACATCCTACCCTGTTTCTCACCATGTAAGTACAATCAGGATATTGTACAAGACAAACTTTAAAAAATATATGAATGAGAAGAATGATTCCTGTATTTTGGGAGAGAGGGCTCTAACTTTTTACAAGATGGGAATTTTAGATACCTAATCATTACAGATTATAATTTGCCAATGGTCTTGAAGTCTCAGGAACATTTGGAAATAGGCAAAGTGACAAGACATTTTAAAGTTCCAGTTCGTGTTTAATGGTGTACACAGATAATAAAGCAGTTTTATGAGCACAGTAGATATGCTTGTAAAGACCTGGGTATATGTCTTTTTCAAGAGGACACTTTGAAAGCACGGTAGAGTTCCATACTTTGGTTGAAAGTGAGGCCTTTGCTTAAACAAAGCATAAGTAGTATGCATATATACTGTGCATATGTAAGCTCTTAGCTCCCTCTGAGTCAGTCTGGGTTTCCTAGGTGTGGGTGATTAATGTGTAAAATTTCAAGATGAGTTTGGGCTTACTGGTTTTGAACGGAAGCTGAGTTTCCAGTGGTTTCTTGTGACCTCTAGTCTGAATCTGTCAGTTGGCCTTTCTCTGCTGTTCCATCAACAGGAAGCATCTGGCCATTCTTCATGTAATTGTCAGAAAGTGCCAGGTGCATTTTTAATGTGTGCTATTCATATAAAAAAAGATTGGATCTTAGTTAATTTTATTTGATTTTGGTTGTTTTTTCCCCCTCCTCCCCTGGCATTTAAAAAACCTTTAAGTATCTCTTCAGGTAACAGTTAAGGCAAACATAACATACTCAAAATATGTCACATGAAATTTTAAGTCAGAAATTCATTTTTGAGGGAGCTAGAGTTTCTTTCAAGTTGCCTAGTGCCTGTAAATGCACTAATGGGGTCCAACCCTCATTTCACTGAGAGACATTAGAGACTCTCATCATGTGCTTGAACATCTAGGAACTTGTTTATGGATCAACAAATAAGACAGTTTGACACCTTTAAAGCTGGGCGGTGGTGGCGCACGCCTTTAATTCCAGCACTTGGGAGGCAGAGCCAGGCAGATCTCTGTGAGTTCGAGGCCAGCCTGGTCTACAGAGTGAGTTCGAAGAAAGGCACTAAAACTACACAGAGAAACCCTGTCTCAAAAAACAAAAACAAAAAAGATATTTTGACATCTGTATACGATATGTAATGATCTAGCATTTCTGTCTCCTAAACTTTGTGTGTGTATATATTGGGACCCTTTCAATTCCTCTGCTTAGTTTATAAAATAATAATTGTAAACTCTCTTCACTTGAAGTCAGGTAGCGTTCTAGTGACCCCAACCATGGCTTTACAACTAATAATTATGTTTCTATAGCATTAATGGCTCAACTTTGGGTCAGTGGTAATTAGCAGTTTACTTTTCTGAAGATATTTGTTCCTTTATCCCTATAAAAGATACATTTAGTGTCAGAAGAAATTAGAGTTAAGACCTGTTTCCTCAGAACTCAGCACTGTAGTGTTATTCAGAAAGGTTAGTGCATCTATATTTGCTCTGCTTATGTTTATGACATGGAAGTAGAGAAAGTAATTTCTCCAAAGATAAATCTTGTAATAAAGCTGTGAAGAGTTCCAGTTGAAGCATTGTTGATAACAAGAGATGTTCCTGACTCTTCCGTGTGCCTTAGTTGTCTTCTTTGTACAGTAGGGATCTGCATTCTAGCACCTACCATGGTGAGAGGAACTGTTAAATGAGTTGGTGCACATATAAAGTGGTGGAATCTCAACCTTTCTAATGCCCTGACCCTTTGATACAGTTCCTCAGGTGGTGACCCCTAACCATAAGATTTTTATTGTTACTTCAGAACAGTAACTTTGTTACCGTCATTGTAATGTAAATGTCTGTTTTCTGATGGTCTTAGGTGACCCTGTGAAAGGGTCAGTTGACCCCAAAGGGGTCGTGACCCCAGGTTGAGAGCCATAGCCTTAGTTACTAGATCGGTAAGTTTTACTAGGTATTTTTTTTACAGTCTCAGTTTAACCTCAATTTGCCCCAAACTTACTATGTAGTCCAGCTGGCCTTGGACTTGGCATAAGCACTTGCTTCATCCTCTCAGATGCTGGGATTACAGGGATGAGCCACCATGCCCAACCTAGTGTGCATAGTTATCGTGGGGTCTTGGCCCCACTATTCAGAACCCTTGCAATCAATAATCTTGGAGTGTGTGTGCGTGTGCGTGTGCGTGTGCGTGTGCGTGTGCGTGTGCGTGTGCGTGTGTGTGTGTGTGCGCGCCCCCCCAAAATAATGTTATATAACCTTTGGAAGGAGTCCAGTACAGTATCTCCTTTCAAACATGTCTATTTTAGCTGGAAATTACTAACTGGCTTGCTGTCAGATTTGGTAAGATTGCTTTGCATTTTATTCATTCATTCGTTCATTTATTTATTTGCTTTGTATGGGTGCAAGAGGGCCATGGCACTTGAAGATTACAATTTGGGACATTTTGGGAGCCATTTCACTCCTTTTACCACATGGGGCCTCGGATTAAATTTAGAACTAGCTTGGTGGCAGAGATCTTTGCCCTGGGGCTGGAGAGATGTCTGAGAGCACTCACTGTTCATTCAGAACATTCAAGATCAGTTCCCAGCACCCTTGTCAGGTAGCTCACAACTGCTTGTAAGTCCAGTTCTAGGGGACCTGACCCAACTCTTCCAAACACTTGTGGGATACATAACATCTTATTCCTGTGCATCACACACATTAGAAAAGACCCTTTACCTACTGAGTCAACTCACTAGCCACTGTGATTCTACTTTTTTAAATTAGGCTAAATACACTGATACTGTAATTTTATTATACAATGCAGTATCTTTTTCTAGAAGAATCTTGACTGTTTATTAAAGTTAGTTGTATCAATCTCATTACACTAGAGAGGTAGGCTACTGCTGATCTGGTAATATAGTAGTGATTCTTTAAAACAAGTGAGTGGGGGCGCGTACCATGATACTGCTTTCTAACATAGCTCCCACCCATTTGGTAGATGTAGAGAAGTGGTTATCAAAGCCATACAATTATACTAGACTTAAGTTTCTTTCATGATGAAAAATTACCTGCTGGCACATGGTGGCACACGCCTTTAATCCAAAAAGGCAGAGATCTCTTGAGTTCAGGAACAGCCTGGTCTACAAAGCACGTTCCAGGACAGTCAGGGCTACACAGAAAACCTTATCTCAGTGTCCCCTTTCCTCAAAACAAAACAAGACTATTGGAACATAGCTACTTTGCTGTATCTCCCCTGTGTCTATAACACTTATATCCAAACAGAAAACATTGTTGTATAAATGATATAAAAGTTTTCCTTTATATTCAAAATGGTTTATGTGAAGTCTTTGACTTTTTCCCATGTGACTGATCACTCTCTATTTCATCCTTTTTTTTTTTTTTCCTTTCGAGACAGGGTTTCTCTGTAGCTTTGCATCTTTCCTGGATCTCGCTCTGTAGACCAGGCTGGCCTCGAACTCACAAAGATCCACCTGGCTCTGCCTCCCGAGTGCTGGGATTAAAGGTGTGCGCCACCACCGCCTGCCTTATTTCATATTTTCTATTCATA